CTACTCCACAATACGGGCGACGACCCGCTCCTAAAATGTCTATCGAGTCGGTTTGAAACACGAGTCTTTTGGAAAGTAGCGTTTCAAATCATCTATCTGACGAACTTAATAAAGTCACAATACCCCGACCCAAGTTTGATATTCGTTACTGAAACAAGGAAAATTGAAAAAAAAAGCTTTCCTAATGTGATAGGCGTTTATCAGTGATGACATGAACAATGATACGTGTAGTATACTGATGACACGAACATATCACACGGTAGAACTCTTAAGAACGGGTTAATATCAAGTCTGGGAAGCATTATTTCATTTTGTTATGTACTTGTATCGAAATTCGTAACATTTTGCCGAGAGATTATCATTTTCATCGCCATGTGAAGATCATGAATTCCCTACACTAGTCGCGGTAGTGAAGTTACCCTAGCACTGTCTCGCGTGAAATAACGACACCCTAGGTCAATGTCCGTTCTGGACTGTCCACCTTTGGTCACCCCATTACTCAAAATAGACAGGTACAAGCTGTTACTGGTAATATGTTTCTTTTAGAAGAGGAATATAGATGTATTCCTAAGAACATTGGTCCTACATCATTAAGGCCATGCAAATTGATGTATATTTCCTGTCACATGACGGTCATGTTAGGTTAATGGTCAATGTATCCCATTAAAACGGCCGAGTAGATGTTATATGTTCTCTAGGTCGTGTTGTACTGAACTGTTTTATCTTATGTTATAACTGCGAAAGAAATGTTGACGCAAACAAAATCTGGTTTATGAATAGAAATACACAATTGCTATTAAAATGACGATAATTAGTCTGATAAAGAGAGGATTGTAGAGACGCTGTAACTATATAAACACTTCTAATAAGTTTGTTGTATCGTGCCTGATTCATCTTATGGTGGTGGTCTCCGTGAAACAGCTGATGACCACCTCGCTGAACAACATACGAGAGGTCCATCACATGTCCATGGCAATTTAGTAAAGGATCTTGCCCTAGGATACCAACACGACAACATGAACAGAAATATCTATGATCCGAGCTTTCTGATAAAACAAACATTGCAATGAAATACGACATATTTCATTTCAGATTGCTATAGAAATTTTAAATACAGGTAATGTTTTAGTTCAAGCATATAATAAAATGTAGGTAATTAATATTAGGGAGCAGAATCGTGCTTTGCAGGCGTAAAATGTGACACCAGAATCACTGTCTTACAACAAATTCCAATCATTCCACATATCAAATGAAAACTCGCTAGTTGTCGTGCCTTACTGTCTCACTATAGACACATGCTTCATATCTCGTAGTTTGCATGTCGTGATAATAAACCCTTCTCCGATGTTACTTTGAGTTTGGATTATGATCATGTTGACTTGTTACATTTTCTTGATGTCTATTAATACTTTGTACATGTATACTATCATTGGTTGTATTATTGGTGGTTAGTATTGAATTAAGGTACGAAGGATTTCTACACATCAATATACACATCACCCAGGTCACATGATCTGAATAATTCAATATCTTATCGGAATGACTTCCCGGAATTATGCTGTCTAGTAGTCAACACGACAATAACGTCTATGACTACAGAGGAAAACGGATACTTAGTCCAAAAGTCCAAACAACTGATCATAGCGGATTTTTTAATTAAATTTTAAAAAATAACCTTCAGATATGCACTTTAAAGTTTAATTTGAATGAAGTCAAATTCATTTCATAAACAACCAATTTGTGCCCCACCCAAACCTGAATGATCTCTGGGTGTCTTCTGCAAAGTACAGCGCGTCATCTTACAAATTCTGAAGTTTACCGCAGTTATGTCCCAGCTTGAGTTGTCATGTAATCGTTAATACGTGAAGTGTACGCCAGCTCTTCTTCCAGCTAGAAATTAATCGTGAGATGTTTTCTAACTTAATCAATAATTGTATTTCAATTTCATCTTGAGCTGTATTCTAACTTGATCAATAATTGTATTCCAGTTTTATCGAGATCTGTATTATAACCTGACTTATTACTATATTCCATTTCTATCGTGAGCTGTATTCTAACTTGTATTATAATTTTACAAACAGAGAATTGTATTCCTACTTTGCTATTTGTATTATAGCTGTACTGAGAATACACCGGGTTGTATTTCAAACTTTCTGACAGTCGTATTCCAGTTTTACAGGGAGCTGTGTTATAACTTTACAGAGAGATGTGTTATAACTTTACAGAGAGTTGTGTTATAACTTTACAGAGAGATGTGTTATAGCTTTACAGAGAGCTGTGTTATAACTTTACAGAGAGATGTGTTATAACTTTACAGAGAGATGTGTTATAACTTTACAGAGAAATGTGTTATAGCTTTACAGAGAGCTGTGTTATAACTTTACAGAGAGCTGTGTTATAACTTTACAGAGAGATGTGTTATAACTTTACAGAGAGTTGTGTTATAACTTTACAGAGAGATGTGTTATAACTTTACAGAGAGATGTGTTATAACTTTACAGAGAGATGTGTTAAAACTTTACAGAGAGTTGTGTTATAGCTTTACAGAGAGATGTGCTATAACTTTACAGAGAGATGTGTTATAACTTTACAGAGAGCTGTGTTATAACTTTACAGAGAGTTGTGTTATAGCTTTAAAGGGAGTTGTGTTATAACTTTACAGAGAGATGTGTTATAACTTTACAGAGAGCTGTGTTATAACTTTACAGAGAGTTGTGTTATAACTTTACAGATAGTTGTGTTATAGCTTTACAGAGAGTTGTGTTATAACTTTACAGAGAGTTGTGTTATAACTGTACAGAGAGATGTGTTATAACTTTACAGAGAGTTGTGTTATAACTTTACAGAGAGATGTGTTATAACTTTACAGAGAGTTGTGTTATAGCTTTACAGAGAGTTGTGTTATAGCTTTACAGAGAGTTGTGTTATAACTTTACAGAGAGATGTGTTATAACTTTACAGAGAGTTGTGTTATAGCTTTACAGAGAGTTGTGTTATAGCTTTACAGAGAGTTGTGTTATAACTTTACAGAGAGTTGTGTTATAACTTTACAGATAGTTGTGTTATAGCTTTACAGAGAGATGTGTTATAACTTTACAGAGATTGTGCTATAGCTTTACAGAGAATTGTGTTATAACTTTACAGAGCGGTGTATTATAGATTTACTGACAGCTGTATTCTAGTTTTACAGAGCGGTGTATCATAGTTTTCTAGAGATTATTTTCCAACTCTCTATGGACTGTCTTTCGATGACAACCACGAAATTTATTATGTAGATTTACGACAGGCTATTTTTTACAACATATTTATCTTAATGTGTAAAATAGATTTCTTACACTTTATAGATCGTGTTTGTTTGACACAGAGTAAGGTATTTGGTAAAATAAGAAAGAAACAGCGGATAAATTGTACTAAATGTCGCCACGTGCTCGAGAAATATAATCCGCAAGGAAACTGATTTATCCTTCTAGGGAACAGCTATTGTCATGAAGAGATAGGACAAAATCATTATCTGATCCGGTCCGAAGGTTAATATCATATTCATCCGATTTCATTTTCAAATAAACCTACATCGGTTACAAAGGAATGTTATATTTGATACCTAGTTAAACATAAATTATTGTAACAACAAAAACGTATTTGATGTTTATTATGATAAATGTCAATTTCTCCCAGTCAAAATGCTGTTTTATACTCTAGATATTTAAAAGAAATATCGCGACTTGGTAGTTTGAGTAAAACTATACGCGTGACTTTGCAAAAACGCGGATAATTATTTTTTTCTGAAGATCAAAAACACTGAACTATAAAATAGTTTTGATATTTGACAATAACACTCTGATCCTGCACCGGTCATACCATACGATTTCTTCACTAGTACAAACGCTAGTCATCTTCTGGGGTTATTACCAATATCTGTGTTTGGTATAATTACTCTCCGAGAAGGTGAGTCCTTTACACTTAAACACTCCGTAACAATTTCATGCCGAAAACACAACATCGATTTATTGTTTTCTGTTTTCTCTTTCGGCGAATAACTATGGAATCCCTATTCATATAGTCATACATAAACTTCGTGTTTACACTTCAGTTGACTTACTCAGCCGATATGAGGTTACGAATGCATGGACATGTAATTATACCACATTAATAGAAGTTCCGTATCAGGATCTTGGTCATCGGCATAACAGACATGTCAGAGTTATTAATTTTATATACATGTATTTGTTAATATTGTAATTTGTATCGAAGTAACCCCAACAGGTCTTAATTAGCTGATTCTTCTCGAACTACGCATTCACAACTCTTCCTGAATTCGAGAAAAAAAGTCTAGTGATCCATGTTCTTTATATGATATTAACGTTCAACTTAGAAGTCACCAAATTGATCTTTACCCTATTTATTATTTATTTACCCTATCGACAACCATAAATACAATGTTTCGCATTTACTTACGCAAAGCTGACATCGGTCACTGAACCCCCATATCAACCTTGACTGATACCAGCAGGTTACTGGGATCGAGTGTAACGGTGACGGATACAATCACCGACAAGTTAAAACAAGACTGCTTCAAATGACATTGGCCACTTCTAACAGATAATACGCTACAAACTATATAACTAAATATAGCATTACCTCCCCTTGTAAGAACACTATTATCTCCCCTTCTGCATTGTCTTAGTTCCCTGACGCCAGCTCACGGCATTTGTGTTTAACGTGCAAATAATAAAGTCAATTTCCTTGATTTGAGATTTATTAATATGTAAATGCTTTAAGATTTTCCAATCAACGAGGTCTACTCTATCGTAATTTTTTTCCTGTCCCGCAAATGTGCACGTGACAGCGACGTTGCCTGCAACGTTGCCATATCACGACATCACGTGATTCCTATTGTTCTTGTTGCGGCCAACAATTACGCACATACAAGAAAGTTTTAGTAGCGGGAATTTTCAACTTTAGCAACAGCAAGAAATATACAAAGTGTATAAAGGTAGAAAATGAATTCTAGAGGTGATGATCACTCCGGTTGGGAGGAGGTAAGGGTCTGCCGTAAATTTATGGCACTGATCGAGGTATTAGATCGCGGTGTAACAGACTCCGGAAAGTATACGATAGATTTATTTCTGTAGGAAAATATCCTTTCCCACTACTGATTTATCCTGAGATCATTCTACCATGTAATAGAAAATCTTTGTGCTTTTGTTGCAGTTTCAAGACCCGAGGGGAACTCCTGTATTGTCGGAACGTTCTCGATACCAGAAAGAGGATGACAAGCAAAAAGACACAAACGTAAATTCTTCCTTTGCTTTACTATAACATTATATCACAGATAAAACTCATAGAAGAAAATATATAAAAAAAACCAGTAGTAATATTCATGTTAATCACTTAATGAAAACTGTAACCAATGTCTGATCCCATAGAAATGTAAGATACTCTACATAACATAACAACTCTCTGTACACTGGAGGATTACTCATGTTTCAGTGTCTATAAAACTAAAGTATACATTGGTTTCTATTTTAGTCTCTTGGACGGATCGAGAAAATACGACAGAAATCAAATGGCACACTCAGCATTGACGACAACATCACCGCGCATGGCGATTTACTGGTTTGGGACCTGGACAATGTTGATGTTGAATACACAAGCGACATGTCTGATCATGGAACACCAAGGGTTAGTGGTTTTATAATGTTATGCAATAACACTTGGCGGAATTATTGTTTATGTACTTTTAACGATGTCATCCGTAGCAAACGATATTGATAAATGATGTTATAAGATATGTGGTATAAGCAGTGGTAATAAAGGATATTCTCTGTGTGGTTTTCTGTCGAGTAGCACCACATGTGGTGACAGGATACATTTATTTTAGTGTGACTTTGCTGAAAGCTTGATACTTCTAACGCCGTAATACTTTTACATTCAATGATATGTTTGTATGTTGATGATGGAATCGTCCACAAGCTTGATCTTCAGTTCGATTCTTTTGTATTAAACAGATGGCCACACCACCAAAGGACATTAAAATGTATGTAAATCAAGGAAAGCAGGTTTCCCTTGTGGACCCATCAGAGGGGAAACCACACAGGCCGATATTTAGTCCCTCAGACGCTATCGAAACGTACAGATTCCGTGACGTCTTCCCAAAGCCCGAGGTATTACACAATTTACTATTAGTGGTATTGGTTGAGCTCGTCTGAAATGATCAATATATTGGAGCACACTAAAATATAACGAAGTATGAAGGCTGCCTTTTTTACTAATAATATATTACTCGCCTTTCCATTTTCAGTTTCATCAAACAAGACTGCTGAACCGTCTTGGAAAAATAGATGCGGGTGGGGCTTTTGTCATTGACAATAATATCACCATGCATGGTGACGTCATGATGTTAGACCTTGACAGTGAAGGTCATACTTCAAACATATTGACAGCTGTCGAGAAACTTAGCCAGCTGACTGAAGTAAGTTTTACTAAGATCGGATGTTATAAACGTTACGTAATACAAATATGATTTTATTTGACAATTATTGATTAATTCAGGAATGAAATCCTATACATGAAGATCTATATATGTAATTATTTCATTCTGGTAGTTGTACATTAGTGTGTTGCGTGTCCTATTTACGTGCTTTACACAGATGTATACGTTTATTGTAAACCAAACTGATCCAATTAAATTTGCAGACGCCGATGACCGTTACTAAGTCCGACAATAAACGTGCAACAACTGGTATTCGGCACTTAATGGCCATCAGAAACCCAGAACTCGCCGAACTCTCGAAAAGCAGCGGAAACAATCCGGAAAAGAAACGAAAGAAGAAGAAGACTAGACAAAATAAAATCAAAGAGAATGTCATTGATGGACAAGAACCGGAGAAACAAAGAACCGGTGTCATTGACTCATTACAGGAAGACGTGGTCATCGACACCAGCACAGAAAAGAAACCAGTAGGGTTCCTTAAGATGATGAAACACCAGATGAGCCGTCTCGGGACCTTTATCCAGAAGAAACTGATCTGTCGTTGATCAGATCAAGAGACTTGAAAGTTAAAGAGGATACTTGTCGCTTTAATATTGCGGTTCGTTTATAATGCCACTCAGAATCTGCATTTTCTAAAAGGCCACGTAATAACTGGGTTTGTTTGAAAGGCTACATAATATTTGTTTTTGTTTGAAGTGCTATTTTATATGTGAGTTTATCTGGAATCTTTGATTTTATTTAAGTTATCTGATGCTGTATCGTTATTGCTTCCCTTTGTTACGCTTATTTTTCATTAAAGATTAACAGGGTTGACTTCGTACATGTCTTGTTTTAACTGACACATGGTTAACATACTAGTGGGAAATGGTGTTATAGAAATCTCTTTTACACACACGAGGAACACATAACGGAAATATGTTTATCACACACATGGAAAGTGTTGTTTACAGAATGCTTGTAAACTCCTACATAAGAAATTGTTTATAGAAATTCGGTAAACAACATTGTGACTGGGGGATGTAATGTTTAAATGAATCCCGCCGATACACACGAGCGAAACATGTTTTATTCCAAGACTTCGAGAATACACAGGAAGCACTTCCATATCTGGCTTTGCACATTTCTTTCGATCACTTTGAATTTTCCTCAGGCGCCTCATTGGTTTAAAATTATGGTTCGTCACTGACGAGTCCTAGAGGAACGAAACAGCTGTATGATACAGCTTAATTAATTGTTTGGCTCTACTGTATCCTATTTAAATTTGTTTTAAGAAATGCTATTCATCTGCTTGTCTTTCGAACAATCATAAAAAAATCAGTGAAAAGTAAATAAACAAGAGAAAGACATGTTTGTAGAAACACGAAACCTAACCAATACACACGTGGGAAACATAAACATAGGGTCAAGTTAATACACAGGATGGGAAGAAGATTATATAAAGTAGTGAATTCAGATTAGGGAAGTGTATATGTATATAGCAACATGGCAGGTATACAATAGGACAACATGTGTATATAGACCTGGCAGGTATACAACAGGGCAACATGTGTATATAGACCTGGCAGGTATACAACAGGGCAACATGTGTATATAGACCTGGCAGGTATACAACAGGACAACATGTGTATATAGACCTGGCAGGTATACAACAGGGCAACATGTGTATATAAACATGGCAGGTATACAACAGGACAACATGTGTATATAGACATGGCAGGTATACAACAGGACAACATGTGTATATAGACATGGCAGGTATATAACAGGACAACATGAGTATATAGACATGGCAGGTATACAACAGGGCAACATGTGTATACAGACCTGGCAGGCATACAACAGGGCAACATGTGTATACAGACCTGGCAGGCATACAACAGGGCAACATGTGTATACAGACCTGGCAGGCATACAACAGGGCAACATGTGTATACAGACCTGGCAGGCATACAACAGGGCAACATGTGTTTACAGACCTGGCAGGCATACAACAGGGCAACATGTGTATACAGACCTGGCAGGCATACAACAGGGCAACATGTGTATACAGACCTGGCAGGCATACAACAGGGCAACATGTGTATACAGACCTGGCAGGCATACAACAGAGCAACATGTGTATATACAGACAACCTGTTTATACAGACCTGGCAGGTATACAACAGGGCAACATGTGCAGGTATACAACAGGGCAACATGTGTATATAGACCTGGTAGGTATACAACAGGGCAACATGTATATATATAGACCAGGACAACAGGTATATAACAACAGGACAACATGTTTATATAGACCTGGCAGGTATACAACAGGACAACATGTTTATACAGACCTGGCAGGTACACAACAGGTCAACATGTGTATATAGACCTGGCAGGTATACAACAGGGCAACATGTGTATATAGACCTGGCAGGTATACAACAGGACAACATGTGTATACAGACCTGGCAGGTATACAACAGGACAACATGTTTATATAGCCCTGGCAGGTATACAACAGGACAACATGAGTATATAGACATGGCAGGTATACAACAGGGCAACATGTGTATACAGACCTGGCAGGTATACAACAGGACAACATGTTTATATAGCCCTGGCAGGTATACAACAGGACAACATGTTTATATAGACCTGGCAGGTATACAACAGGACAACATGTTTATACAGACCTGGCAGGTATACAACAGGACAACATGTGTATATAGACCTGGCAGGTATACAACAGGGCAACATGTTTATATAGACCTGGCAGGCATACAACAGGACAACATGTGTATACAGACCTGGCAGGTATACAACAGGACAACATGTGTATATAGAACTGGCATGTATACAACAGGACAACATGTGTATATAGACCTGGAAGGTATACAACAGGACAACCTGTTTGTATAGACATGGCAGGTATACAACAGGACAACATGTATTTATAGACCTGGCAGGTATACAACAGGGACAACATGTGTATATAGGGACAAACAATTATACAGACCTAGCGAATAAACAAGAGGGACAAACAATTATACAGACCTAGTGAATAAACAAGAGGGACAAACAATTATACAGACCTAGTGAATAAACAAGAGGGACAAACAATTATACAGACCTAGCGAATAAACAAGAGGGACAAACAATTATACAGACCTAGTGAATAAACAAGAGGGACAAACAATCATGCAGACCTAGCGAATAAACAAGAGGGACAAACAATAATAAAGACCTACAATTATAAAGACCTAGTGAATAAACAAGAGGGAATAAACAAGAGGGACAAACTATTATACAGACCTAGCGAATAAACAAGAGGGACAAACAATTATACAGACCTAGCGAATAAACAAGAGGGACAAACAATTATACAGACCTAGTGAATAAACAAAAGGGACAAACAATTATACAGACCTAGTGAATAAACAAGAGGGACAAACAATTATACAGACTTACCCCGAATAAACAAGAGGGACAAACAATCATGCAAACCTAGTGAATAAACAAGAGGGACAAACAATTATACAGACCTAGTGAATAAACAATATGAACATAGTTGAGTAAAACATGTTGATATAGACTTACTGTATATACGCGAGGGAAACATGTTTATATAGACCTTGTTAATACTAGCGAGGGAAACATGTTGAAATAGATCTACTGTATACACGTGATGGAAACATGTTGATATAGACCTACTGTATACACGTGAGGGAAACATGTTGATAGAGACGTGTTGTATACACGCGAGGGAAACATGTTGATACAGACCTATTGAATACATGTGGAGGAAACATGTTGATACAAAGCTAGTGAATTCACGCAAGGAAAACATGTTGATACAGACCTTGTGAATACACGTGAAAGAAACAAGTTAATATAGACCTGCTGTAACACACGAAGGAAACATGTTGGTACAGACCTTGTGTATACACGTGAAAGAAACATGTTGGTACAGACCTTGTGTATACACGTGAAAGAAACATGTTGGTACAGACCTACTGTATACACGTGAGGGAAACATGTTGATGTAGACTTAGTAAGTACATGCGAGGGAAACATGTTGATACAGACCTAGTGTATGCACGTGCGGAACATGCTAAGGAAACTTGAAAAATACACACGAGCGAAACAACTAAGCATTATACGCGTAAAGTGTTCACATTTAATTAGTATACAGTGCTGTAGACCATCACCCTCATCCACCTGTCAGCCATGACCGAGTGACTAACGCCTGATTCCATAAGGCTGCTGGCGGCGATTGTCACAATGACGGATAAAATTAGAAACATGTTAATTTAGGATAGATTCAAATGACGTTAGCTCACAGATATTCTATATAACTTTATTTTGTGTGATTTGTATTCACCATTACAGATGAATGCAAGTCTTCACATAGTAAGAGTAGCCAGGTGTTTACACACACCCTCGTTATCGTGGCTTCTTAGGTATGTAAGCGGACAGTAATTAATCTAAAGCGTACACTTTCAAAACACAAAAGGAAGGTTTTATCAATGGAGAAAAAACTTGAACGTATATACAGCTGAATCAGCTAAAAACCTTTACAAAAGGAGTTGGTATAAATTTGATATCGCCAGGGCGACAATGTCCGTAAATATTACTTCAAAGGTCATTTATCAACTAAATTATGCATCCAAGAAATAATTTTCTCGTATTCAAGTGAGTAATTGTTTACCAGGGCTTAAATTATTCCAATACGTAGACCGTTCGTTCAGGAACAGGCAACTCAGAAAACAAGGGAAATGAAAATTTTGGATTTCAAGTCACCTAGCGGTTGGTTGGAAAGCTGGAGAAATAGACACTTTATCGGCTTCTTTAACGTTTGTGGAGAAAGTGGTTGTGTCGACTGTGAATATTCTGACATTAGACGAGATCAGAAAGTTTGAAGTGTGCAAAAACGATTGCTACCCCAAACGAGTGGACGCGTTACGTGACATGACACTATCTACTATAGTTAAACAATATACGCAGAAAAACCAGTCAACTCAGAAAAGTTTCTTTACTAAGTGATTAGCAACAGCAAGCAAATTAACAGATAGATTCATTGCATCCCCAATCGATATTAAAAACAAAACAAAAATATATATAAATATATACCCCGAGTGAATACCAGAATCGTCATATTTCACTGCATACTGTATAACATATACATTTTAATAGTGTTATACCGCTTCTAAGAATATTACTACCCCCTCCTCCCTCCCTCTTCTCTACATTATTTCGTTGTATCGACTCATAAACCCCCCTACCTCCTCTCTACATTATTTCGTTGTTTCGACTCATACCCCCATCCCCCGACTCATAAACCCCCTCCCCCTCCCTCCTCTCTACATTATTTCGTTGTATCGACTCACTTCCTCAAAATAATTTTCTTGTATTGAATTTTTTTTAGTTTGCTGATACTCCCCATCGTTTTTTCCCAGGTATATGCACGTGACCTCGACGTTGCCTGCGACGTTGTCATGTCACGACGTCACGTGATACCTATTGTTCTTGTTGCGGTAAACAATTACCAACATACAAGAAGGAT